TAGAGAGAGAGGGAGGAGGAGGAGAGACATAGAGAGAGAGGGAGGAGGAGGAGGAGGAGGAGGAGAGACAGAGAGAGAGAGGGAGGAGGAAAAGGAGTTTATTTGTATTCTAAGATCACAACATGTACTGAACAGCTGGTCATATACATTTATATGTACAACATCTGAATTGAAAATTTTAAGGGAAACTGCATCAATAAATTGTAGACACCATAACATCAACACATGTAGTGACCCCTTGATAGGCCACAATGGAGTTAAGGCAACACCTATCCTTCTAGTTAAAATGAACTACTGACTCGCATAAGTTCACAAGTGCACAACACACAACAGCAAGTTTGTCAATAGAGAGTGTCCATCCTCGACATTCCTGGAGATTGAAACATTATTTGACCAAATCAAAGTTGCATGTATGCTGTTTTAATGCCAATGGTTATCTTTATATACTATTTCGTTACTCACTGCTAGTAAAGAAGCGGACCACCAAATTTTTGTGCAGGTCCACCAACTTTCTGAAGTTGGTGGTCCTGCTGTCCACTAGATTTTCAGCCGAAATTCGGACCCTGCGGTGCCGGGCTCGACAAACCCGCTTGCCCGATGGCCCGGGGCAACTAAATTTCGCCCCCGGGCAAGTAGCTTGAAATTGCACTTCCTGTTCGGGCAAGCAAGTTTTTTTTATTGAATGGCTAGACATAATGAGATTTTTCTGTTTCCACCTGTCCCTTGCATTGTTTTGCACAGACTGTGAGACATATATAAGCTGCCTTGCTGCGACGAGATTTGAATGAAAGAAATAATGCGAATGAGACAATCGGTGCATGCAGTCATACTTTGTACACAACATGCATACAGCAACATGTAAACCCGGCCTCCGTGATTTTGTCACCATTATGAATGATTGTTGACCTCGTCGATTTTGCCAAAGCATAATCTTGACTTTCGTTTGGGAAACACCTGTACGATAATTCGGCACAATTTCTGGCTTAGGCCAAAACAAAATATATGTGTGGTTACCGTTTCATGCCGAAAAAAAAATAGGGTAGGTAGGTAGGGAAAACATTTTATTTTATTGAAACATTTTATGTACGAACCATGTCCGAAGAATGTGCGTTGTGCCTTTTGAAGCAGGAACTGTCCAATTCATTTTTTTATTTTTTTTATTTTTTTATATTTTTTTTTTACTTTAAAGAAAATTGACAATAAAATGTTTAGGGTCGCTAGGAATAAATAGGGTCGGTCAGGAAACGGTAACCACACCTATATTTTGTTTTGGCCTTATGAGACATCATTAGAGTCCGTGCATCAAAATTATGAAAATTTTAACAAAATCATGCTATGAAAAACTAGCTCTGGCCAAGCCTAAAATAGCTCCCGTAAAAAAAATTACGAGAACTCTTTTTTTCATACAAAATCAAAAAAGAGCTCTCGTAAAAAAAAAAAAAATTTTAGGCTGCTAACCATATCAAATAGTTGAAGTTACCTCGGGTGCATATTATACGCCATTATAATTTATATACGACAACGACCCTTCGTGCGCTAGTAACTGATTACATATTGATAGCTGTGAACGATGTACTGATTCACGTGATACGTTGTTGTTGACTTGTTGTTGACTTTCTCAACTTCTTGTAGTTGATTTTGGTGTTGTTGTTGTTCTTGTTATTATTCTTGGTGGTGGTAGTGATGGTGGTGTGGTGGTAGTGATTGATGGTGGTGTGGTGCTGGTGGTAGAACTTAAGTTGTGGCGATATTGCTGTTGTTTTTGTTGTTCTGAATCTGTAGACTGTACTACTACTACTATTAGTACTAGTAGTCACAGGCACTTGAAACATTTCAATAATAAAATGATGGTAAATAAACACGCAATCATTGCCTGTTTTGCTAGGACGAAATAAACACGCAGACTTTGGTGGTAATTACATTGTGGCAATGTATTTACTACCAAAGTCCTCATGTTTTTCTACTCTTTTTTGCCTATTGTTCCGTCCGTTTTTGCTCAGGTAAATAATTTACACTGGCGCATGCAGAGCAGGTATACGCGTGGTGAACTCTTTTGTGATTGGGGCTAGGTTGGTGCAGCAATTTTGGGATAGAAATCTTTGGCGCTGATTGTCTGTCTTCTTCACGTTCGCTCGCAACCTGGACTGGCCATAAATGTAGGTGTCTATTTTTAGTTTAAATGATTAGTATATGGTATGTAGACCTTTTGTATGAACATAGTTATTATTGTCAGTTTATAAGTTTGCCAGGAAAGGCTTTATATGTTAGTTTACCCTACTCCGTGAAAATGGCGGCGTTGAGAAACGAATGTATGTAAATTGTCGTACGAGTGTCAGGAATCTGTAATGGATGCGTTCCAGAGTTCATGCCAATGGTTCATTTATTTTGCATCTCAGTATCAAGGCAGTTGCATATAGCATTATATAGCTCTTACTTGTATTCTAATGTTAACAATACTGCACAATTATGATTCTACAGTAACGTATTCCAACCAGGTGGCTTATACTGTTGACTTCTGTTATGTTTCAGTCTTCACTGTGTTTCGTTGCCTCGCAATAAAGCTGTTCGAGACATACAATGTGGATTCGTCTCTACTGTTCGCAGCTGACGCGATAGTGAAGAATTTGGCAACTAAAGATGTCGTCCAAAGGAACTGTTCAAAGTAGAAACTGAAACTGGAAAAAGAACTAGAGCATTAACAGACAAAGCTCTACAACTGTATCAGCAGGAAGTGAAAAGGAAAACAGAAACATTAAATAAATTGTGGTCTGTTCTATCAGATCTGATCGAGACAATTCCAGTCTTAGACAGAAGTGTTCACGTGTTGAAAGCATTCGTCAAAGGGTCTTGAGCAGGGTAAACCTGTTCCCAAAAGCAGCGGTGTAGTATCTCTATCACCAGTATTCAACAGTAGTGTGTTATGTGTAGGAGGTCGGTTGAAAAACGCGGACATCCATGTTCGTGAAAAGCACCCTATCCTCTTACCAGGTAAACATTGCCTTGCACTCTTGATCGTTCGCCGATGTCACGAGTCAGTCAGTCATCAAGGTCGACAAATTACCGAGGGCGCGGTCAGAGAGGCAGGCTATTGGATTACTGGGGGAAAACGTCTGATTGCTTCAGTGATACGCGGATGTGTAACGTGTCGGAAACTGAGGGGGCGCCTCGGGTTTCAGAAGATGTCAGAACTGCCTCAAGATAGGTTACAACCTGGACCCCCGTTCTCATCAGTCGGGGTAGACTGTTTTGGGCCTTGGCAAATAGTCACACGTCGCACACGTGGGGGTCAAGCTAGCAGTAAGCGGTGGGCAGTCATGTTTACCTGTCTCGTGTCGAGAGCCGTGCATATTGAGTTGGTTGAAGAATTGAGCTCATCATCCTTCATAAACGCACTGAGACGGTTCATTGCTGTTAGAGGTAAAGTAAAGCTTTTTCGCTCAGACAGAGGGACCAATTTTGTTGGCGCCACAGAGGGTCTTGGAATCAACGTTGAAAGTAACCACGTCAGAAATTTCCTTCTCGGAAATGGTGCTACTTGGATCTTCAATCCACCACATTCCTCTCACATGGGAGGGGTGTGGGAGCGGATGATCGGTGTCACCAGGAGGATTTTGGACTCTTTGTTGTTGAATGTGACTAGTGGAGGTCTCACTCACGAGGTGTTGTCGACGTTCCTTGCAGAGGTCATGGCTATTGTTAATTCCCGGCCACTAGTTCCACTTTCATCTGACCCTGGAAATCCGTATCCCCTTAGTCCGTCTATGATACTCACGCACAAAAGTGATAGCATTGTCACTGTTGTGATTCCCTCCAATGTCAAAGATTTGTTCAAAGCGCAGTGGAAACGCGTGCAAATACTCTCAGACATGTTCTGGAAACGGTGGCGCAATGAGTTTCTTCAGACATTACAAGAACGCCGAAAGTGGACAGACGATCAACGAGACCTGTCAGTTGGTGATGTGGTTCTTGTAAGGGACAAACAAACAGCTAGGAATCACTGGCCCATGGGAGTAATCACTCAGGTACTTCCTAGTGCGGATGGGAAGGTCCGTACAGTGAAGGTTCGGGTGGTAGCGGACAGCGGGAAACCCACCTGTTACACGCGGCCAGTAAACGAGACAGTGTTACTTGTAACAGATTATGATGTGTGATGGAATATTGATGTTGATGGACCGAAATTAACAATTGTGATGTCGCGATTGTCGAAAGTGTTCGACTTCAAACTCTTTTGAGAAATGTGTCAAAGTAGTTTTTGTGTAGCCATCTAAACGTGTATTTGATGTTTTGTATTCTTTTCATTTGTAGTGATATTCTATAAATATCAGACGGGGAGTGTTCCGTCCGTTTTTTGCTCAGTTAAATAATTTACACTGGCGCATGCAGAGCAGGTACGCGTGGTGAACTCTTTTGTGATTGGGGCTAGGTTGGTGCAGCAATTTTGGGATAGAAATCTTTGGCGCTGATTGTCTGTCTTCTTCACGTTCGCTCGCAACCGCTGACTGGCCATAAATGTAGGTGTCTATTTTTAGTTTATATGATTAGTATATGGTATGTAGACTTTTTGTATGAACATAGTTATTATTGTCAGTTCATAAGTTTGCCAGGAAAGGCTTTATATGTTAGTTTACCCTACTCCGTGAAAATGGCGGCGTTGAGAAACGAATTTATGTAAATTGTCGTACGAGTGTCATGTCAGTGTCATGTCATGTCAGGATCAGGATGTCATGTCATGTCATGTCAGTGTCATTACATGTCAGGAATCTGTAATGGATGCGTTCCAGAGTTCATGCCAATTGTTCATTTATTTTGCATCTCAGTATCAAGCAGTTGCATATAGCATTATAATTAGCTCTTACTTGTATTCTAATGTTAACAATACTGCACAATTATGATTCTACAGTAACGTATTCCAACCAGGTGGCTTATACTGTTGACTTCTGTTATGTTTCAGTCTTCACTGTGTTTCGTTGCCTCTCAATAAAGCTGTTCGAGATATACAATGTGGATTCGTCTCTACTGTTCGCAACTGACGCGATACCTATTATTAGTAATAACTTTTTGTAAATGCCATTCAAATGCTATTCTGCAACACACCAGTACACGGCACGCACACCGCTGTGTACAAACAATTATAGAGCACGTGAGAGAGCGTAACCGTCAAATTCACACGACACTCGCTTCGTTTCAACACTCACAGCACAAATACACAACCAACTGCCTCCATTTTGATATCTATGCGTAGCTAAATGTTCACTTGTTCAAATTATAACTTTTCCATTTAAAGGTAGCTTCCCTCGAACTTTTCAAGCGGCAAACATAAAATCGGGCAAAGATGTATTATTTTAACATTGCACGTTTGTACTTGCCTATATATGTGTGATAGGTAAAATAAAATTGCTCGTGAATATGTTCATTCGAAGCTTTTAGACTAAAAATAAAAGTGAAACGTTCTGGTCGAATGTTTCCCAGCGTTTACTTTTGCCGCTATGCGGCGATTGTTCCGCTCTGCGCACTGGCCGTGTTATGTAAAACTAGAAACGAGCAGTTGTCGCCAACTACCTGTATCCCACGTGATCTAGTATGAATGGAATAGCTCTGTAAGGACGTAGAAGGCAGGTAAAGTTAAATAAGTCACAAAGACAAAGGTTTGTTAGACAACTTGTGTTGCCTCAGATGTGCAAGTATATGGAATCTGGTTACGCTAGAGGCCGAAGAGGAAATGTAAGTCGACGGTGAAGGTCAAACTAAGGTCAAGGGCAGTGGTGGTTTTGGTATGCGGCAGACCTTCTCCCCAAGATGTGTAAGCATATACCAAGTTTTGGTCGCGCTAGGTCAATTAGGGTCTGAGTTAGAGAGCGGAAGAGAAATATGATCAAGGTCAAGGTAAAGGTGAAATAAAGGTCGCAGTGAACTGGTGGGCAGTTTCTACCCGATCTCGAATCATCTTCAAATTTGGCATGAAGGTGCATTATGGTAAAGCGAAGACGCCAATCGTTTTTGGCGTGGGCGGAGTCATCGTTGCCATGGTAACACATTTTTGTGGAAATATTGTAGAACCTGTAACTTGTGCTGTTTTTACCCGATTGTCATGGAATTTGGCACACAGGGCCGATATAATATATATATATGTATATATATTGTAGACACGTGATTCGCGCTACCTTGTTAAAGAGATTCTGTAATGAACTAGAGACAAGTAGAGACAAGACAAGACGAGAAGTAGCGTTCAGTAGTGTTTTACTACATAATACAACATGGAAATTCAATGTACTACAGACTAGCAAGACCGTTCATTTACATAGCAACCGTATCACGCACTTACACCTTCTCGATCGGTGTCTTCTAACCAAGACCCCGAGAAGCAATGGCTTCCACCTTATTATACGCCGCGCCCTTTTCCTACGTCACCTCTCGTTATAGCTCCCTTCTCGCTTTCCTCCGGCCAACTGGACATACCAAATACGGGAATGCAGTCCTATACCTTCTCCATTACCCGGACCGAATGCTACGGATATGCGTGTCTTCGCCCTCGGCTTCGTACTTGGCCGAATTCCATGATTCCATTCCTGCCCCGAGGTCGTAGGTCATCTGGTCAGCGTCTAGGTTGTCACATGCGCAATGCCCAGGGAAACCTTAGCCCCGCGCTCGACCATTGCTTACTCTCGTACCTGCTCGACTGGCTCGCGTAGCGTCCATTCTCAGCATGTTGTGGACAACCCTCTCGACACTTGTGGCGCCAAAGATTGCATTTCCCGCATCGCTATCGCTTTCTCGTGGCATATGCAATCTGCCTGCTTACAATATATATATATTTGATGACAATCATAAATTTAAATATAAATTTAAATGCAAATTTTAATACAAATATAAATTTCATGACAATCGTGTAAAAAGTGCAGAAGTTACAGGTTCTAGAATTTTTCGACAAAAAATGTTGTTAACATGGTAACGATGACTCCGCGCCACACCAAAAACGATAGGGGAGTCTTCGCTTTACGATAACGCACACTTCATGCGAAATTTTGAAGATGGTCGGAGAAGAACTGCAGCGCGTAGGAGCGTTCACAAGGAAATCTCTGGCGGCCTGGCGGCGGCGCGCCGATGCCAAACCCATAGTATCCCCACGAACTTCGTTCGGGGGATGCAATGGGGTTAGCCGCTAGAAACAGTTGCGCTGGAGGGGCAGACATCTGCAGAGGTGAAGATTATCCGCGTACCCATATGCACACCGGGATAGAGTGGGGAGTGGGTGTTTATTCTTTTGTGTGTGCTGAGGAGTTATGTAATATGTTTATTGAGATTCACGGTGATATTAGTGGTGCATATGTGAAGTGGGTGTTTATTCTTTTGCGTGTGCTGAGGAGTTTATGTAATATGTTATATGAGATTCATGTATGTATGTAGGTACATGTATGACCTGCAGAAGAGCCCCTACTGTCGTACACCACCTATATTCGCGCTGACAATATATATGCGTGCGTGGGTGTGCACGTCCACGTGTGTGCGTGCGTGCGTGTGCACGTACAAGTGCTGCGTGCGTGCGTGCGTGCGTGCGTGCGTGTGGTCATACATGTACGTGCATGCGTGCGTGTGTGCGTGGGTGTGCACGTCCACGTGTGTGCGTGCATGTGCACGTACATGTGCGTGCGTGCGTGCGTGTGCACGTACTCGTGCGTGCATGCGTGCGTAGGTGCGTGTGTATACGTACCCGTGCGTGCATGCGTACGTGTGTGCTTGCGTGCGTGCGTTTGCACGTACAGGTGCGTGCATGCGTGTGTATGTAGTGGCGTGCGTGCGTGTGCACGTACACATGCGTGCATGCGTGCGTGCGTTTGCACGTACACGTATGTGCGTGCGTGCGTGTGTACGTACCCGTGCGTGCATGCGTACGTGTGTGCTTGCGTGCGTGCGTATGCACGTACAGGTGCGTGCATGCGTGCGTATGTACGCGCGGGGTGCGTGTGCACGTACACATGCGTGCATGCGTGCGTGCGTTTGCACGTACACGTATGTGGCGTGCGTGCGTGTGTACGTACACATGCGTGCGGTGTGCGCGTGCGTGTAAACGTGCACGTGTGTTGCCGTGCGTCGTGCGTTGGGGCATACATGTACGTGCATGCGTGGCGTGCGCGTGTGTGCGTGCGTGTGCAGGTACAAGTGTGTGCATGCGTGCGTGCGTGCGTGCGTGTGTGCACGTCCACGTGTATGATTGTTTTTTTAATCTAGACTGCATGGATACGCAAGAAAACTACTGCAAACCTCAAGTCAAATGAGCTAATAACTAATGTTTATAAGCTATTTTGCGATATAATCGAGCTTATCTTAAATCAAGTGTGCTAGTATAGTCAGCCTCTCTGAAGTGATCGCTGCAGACTTTACTAAGGCATTTTAACTTGGTTATATCGCTATGACGATACGATCGGCTATTCGTGATGCCTGTATCTTTCCAACTGACCGGTTGATTGCGCAATCGTTGTAACACCTCTAACTCCCGCTCCGCCACCTGCTGACAAAGCTAGCGGCTAACCCCATTATACACACTGGCATGTTATGACCCAATGGTTTTTCTGGTCATGTACATGGCTAGCTGATGGGGTAATGGCAACGTTTTTGTTGCTGGGAGATTATAGTATTCTGAGCGAGTTAATGAGTGAGTGAGTCGAGAGAGTACTGTCAGGTTGCTGTTAGTTCGGATTACGTTTTGTTGGGTTTTTAGCACGTTCTATCTCGAAAGCTCTAACGGTAAAAATCGCGGCTCTGCGGTTACGAACAGAGACATTATGTTTTTATAACAAGTGAACACTGTTCACGTGCCAAATGTCTGCCCTCTGTGTCCCCCACTAAAATTGTGGACTGTTCGCTGGCAGCTATGGATGCGTGCGCCGGCGTAAGCATTCGGCGCACAGATCCATAGCTGCCAGCGCTGCATACTGTCGTAGGACGTTCCCGCGGTCGCGTGCGCCTTGCCGCGGAACTGCGCGCAAGATCTGCGCTCAGCACTTCGGGTCAACACCTTCTTTCGGCAACCGCAACGGCAACGCTTCTCTAGTATCCCGTCTCATCTGGATCAGAAAGTTTGATTTTAGAAAATGATTTATATTAAAAGTTATAACATCTGAAAGTGGCTACATTGACTTGATTGAAATGATGGTTACTCAAATTTAGACAATATGGGGCCATTATACGGAACCGTGGCGAAAAGCGTTTTTCGAGTTGTTTCTTCGTTGAGCAAATATAGGCTTGATACATATTTTTACAGTTTTATTTTCAAAGCTAACGTTCAGCTAAAGTGTAGTGAGTTATTTACCTACGTTTTTACAGTGGTTTGTTACAAAAATTTACGTGGAAAGTTCGAGGGAAGCTACCTTTAATACTGCCTTCTTTACCCATAGATATCTGGTCCACAGCGGTGTGTGTGTGTGCTGTACTTGCATGTTGCAGGGGAGCTTTTGAACAGCATTTACAGGAAATGATCACTAAAAAATAGACGTAAGAGAGTAAAGTTATAAACATTTAGACTTTGGTTGTAAATACATTTCGTTTTTATTCACCTTCATTATATTATTAAAATGTTCCAAGTGCCCGTGGTAACTACTACATACATGTACTAGTGTGTTCATTAGTGCGCATAACTGTTTGCCGCAGGAAATTTCTCATCATTGCTGTACGGTTGACCAACATCATGTTTGCTTCTCTGTGGTGGTTAAATTGACTACGTCAGCATTTAAGTAGCACCAGCAAATAGTAAATTTGTGTGTTAATTTGCACAAAATAAAATATATGAAAATATAATTAGTGTTTCTGTTTACTTTTCATGCTTAGATACCTTCTTTATACTGTAACGTCTCTTTTACATATGTTGTACAGATGTCACATTGAATTAGTAATCGTAGATAGTTTGGTTGTACATAGAGAAGGGTTGGGCGTTTAGCAGACAGATGAGAAATAGTTAGGTTGGGTACTACGCGGATAGGTTACGGACATTAGGTTGAGACTTGGTACAGATGGCCAGCATATTTATACTTTAAAT